CCATCTCTGTCCATGGCTAACCCCTTCTCACCAGGTCACCTCCTCAGAGGTGGTCACCTCCTCAGAGCTGGTCACCTCCCCCTCCTGATGGGAGCCCTGTGTAGCTCATTAGTTACTTTCTACTCAGTATCCTGTTTTTATTGCTGTCACTGTGCTTTTCACAATCGTTAAATCACTTTACCATCTGTGTGGCCACGAGAATGTGAGCCCCGATGCACCCAGGAATTCTGCCTGCCTTTCTCCCTCTCATACACTTAGCTCTGAGCACTGTTCGGATCACAAAAGAAGTACTGAATAAGTACTCGTTAAATAAACAAACACATACTTAATATGGAAAGTAAAACTATCGCTATAAAATTAACTTACCTTCTGAGGTTATGTTTGAATCTTCTACAGCACTATCTAAAAAAAGCAAACACATCTTACATTAACTCGCCTCCACTCAGACCCCTAAATTAACTCATATCTACTCAAATATCTAAACTTGGCTCTTTTTAGACTGGGTCTTCTTATAGAGAGAGTCAGGAGTAATCACACTAGTATATCAACTTTAATTTCCATATTATATTCAAAGAGTGTACCAAATATGGTGACATTATTCCTGTGACATGAAACCTGCACTGCAAATAGGGAATAAATGTACTGATGATACTCAATTACTTTCCTGGTGACATGAAAATGTCTTTCATTTCTTATTACATCTCTTCTTTGTTCTATGAGTTTTAAGAGTTTTAACATATACGAGGGGGATGACTTGCAGGAAACATCCACTTCCAGAAAAAACTCACCTGAAATTTCTATCCCTTCATTTTCGGAAGGTTCATATACTATAAAAGAAACAGAAAATATAATGCTTTAGCACTGCGTAACTTTCATTATAACACAAAAATTGACAACACATTTCAAGGGCAGAGACGATGTCTTATTGATCTTTGAGCCTGCGGGGCTTGTCACTGGGAAACACAGATGGCAGAGCAGGCTGGGGAAGAGTTTGAGCAGCTGGAATGAAACAGGCCTGAATTCAAATTCCAGGGCAGCCACTTTTTAGCCATAGGAGATGGGCAATTTCAAACGCTTGCATCCTATAGAATGGGGAAAACAAGTTCTTTCCTGACCACTTGTTACCAGGATTCAATAATTTGTTTACTCCCAGGCGGCACTGAATTTTTTTTT